TTTTTTTTTTTTCGATCGATCAATCAATAAAGCAATCAATCAATGTCCACCCCTCTCCCCCCCACCTCTTTCAACCCTTCCGCTCCTCTCGCTCCTCCTCCTGCCGCTCCTCCCACTCCTCCTCCCGCGCCTCCTCCCGTGCCTCCTCCCGTGCCTCCTTCCGCGCCTCCTCCACCCCTTCCCGTTCCCCCTCCCGCTCCTTCTCCCGCTCCTCCCACTCCCACTCCCGCAACTTCTCCCGCTCCTCCCACTCCTCCTCCTCCTCCCGCTCCTCCTCCACTAAACAACGTGACAAAGATAGCCCCGTTTCCGCTCCTTCTCCCGCTCCTCCTCCCCTCCTGCTGCTCCTCCCGATCCTCCTGCTCCTCCTCCTCCTGCCGCTGCTTCTCCTGCTCTTTCCCCCGTTCCTCCTCCGGCTCCTCCCGCTGCTCCTCCCGCTCCTCCCGCTCCTCCCGCTTCTCCTCCACCTATACCTCCTCCCGCTCCTCCGCCTCTCTCACATTCGTTAACCCCCTCCCCATTTCCCCTCCCGCATCCTCCCGCTCCTTCTACCGCTCCTCCCCCGCCTCCTCCGCCCCTTCCCGTTTTCCCCCATGCTCCTTCTCCCGCTCCTAACCCCCTCCCCATTTCCCCTGCCGCTCCTCCTCCCGCCCCTTCCGCTCCTCCTCCAGCGCCTCCTCCGCCCCTTCCTGTTTCCCCTCCCACTCCTCCCGCTCCTCCTCCCGCTCCTCCTCCTTTTCCAAGCCCCACCCCAGGGACGGCCATTATCTGGCCCGGGTGACATTGAGGTTTTTTTTGGGGGGTGTTTGTTTTAGAACGTGTAATGACCCGCCACTGCTGATTTCTGAGTTCTGCCGATGGAATGGATGCCTTGCTGAGATTCCCACATTCTGCTGAGCTTTGTAAGTCTGTGTGTATGCGTGCTTGATGACCTGCGTGCCTGTTTGAGTGCTTGTCGGCATGAATGTGTGTCTGACCTGCAAGGGTACTTGCTTGTTTGGGAGGCCCGTAGGGCCGGCACTTACCTGTGGCTGTGACATTGACGGTTGCAGCAGGGAAAACACTCCAAGCGGCGGAGCAAGAGGCCCGCGGCACTTAGAGCAGCGGAAAAACACTCAAGTAGCGGGTAGGCCGGTACCACATGTGCCGGGTACTCTAGGCCGAGCAGAAGAAGACAAAGTTGGCATTTTTAGAGGCCTAGTAGCAGTAGGCTAGGTCTAGGCGGGTACCAGTCCATCCAGTCTGAGTCTAGGGCCTGTACGGGCAATATCAGACACTGCAATGATGTTTCGCTCCGAAAGGGAGGACGTACCGGTTGCTTGGGAGGCCGAGCGGCCTGGAAGTCACCCGGCCCAGGAGGCAAGTAGGCCGCTATATCTGGAGGCTGAGCAAAGAGCCGAGCCTCATTCTTCAGTGTGCAAGTTTGGCGACACACTGCTGGGGCACTGGCTGGAGGAGGGCTGGTGTTACATCTTCGATGCCACACGGGTCCTACCGGACCCGACTCAGGGTTAGAGGGACACACTGGGGCCTAAAGGCCCGACCTTGGGGGTACTACAGGCCGTAAAGGCCTTACTTTGGACCAGACCCGACGGGCAGGCCCAAACGACATTACCGTTTGGGCCTGGCGGCGCTCTTGAGGCTGCCGCCCGCTGGTTGGGGCTGAACCGTCCATCTGGACGGTTCAGGGCACGGCCAGGCCTCGCAGCATTGACGCCGGCCTCTGCCCCGCCGGTACAAAAGTACCGGTCCAGCCTCACTGAGGCTATCGACCTACCAGCATTCTACCCGTAAGGTATGGTACAGCGCGATACAGCGCTGGCGCTAAGTTTAGCGCAGGAGCAGCGAGGAGCAGCAGCGCAGCATTAGCGCAGCAGCAGAGAGCGAGCAGCAGCAGCGGCGACTGGGTGTACCGGCGGCCATCGCCGCCTGAGGTATCGGGAGTTGGAGGCCTCTCTCCTCCCTCCCCTCGCCAGTTCCCTCTCTTTTCTTCTTCTTCTTCTTCTTCTTCTTCTTCTTCTTCTTCTTCTTCAGATTGGAGACATATACTAGTTGGACAGAGATCAGTGTTGGACTTCGGTGGTATAAGACTGTGGTACTTACCGGATTGGAGAATTGGAGATTGTTGGGGTTGATACTTGGCGGCATCACAGTTCGGACACCGGTTACATTTGTACTCTGTATCTCCGACATTGGTGACTGATTGTCCTCGACATTTTGATCTTGTTGGATGACATTTTGGACTACCATATCGGTGACCTATCGGATTCTATCTCGGTGACCTACCGGTGCTGTCTACCTCCCCCACCTCCTTCGTCTCTCCTCCCACCTTTCATCTGTGTATGTGTGTACGGGATCTGGGCATCGTCCATGCTTGGCCCAGACCCCACCATCTCATGATTGTATGTGTGTGGAGTGATTCTATGTGAGTCAGTCTATGTGAGTCAGTCCGTTTATCAGACTTCCGCTGCATATATGCTCATCCTACATTGGTTGATCTTTGGTTCTGCCCATACTCATTGAAGTATGTAACAGCTGGCTACTACAGCGCTGCTGGGAGCAAGAAGCCTGGGAGCTTCCACTTGGCTATGGTGGAGCTCTACCGGTAGGAGGAGGAGGGCGAAGAGGACTGCGGAGGAGAGTGGCGAGGTACCCACCTGGCTATGGTGGACACCATCTTCATCACCTTGTTAGGCGCTGCATCTGGAAGGCCCCAGTTGGGGTAGTGTCGCACCAAGGAAGCTCGAGGTAGAGTCAGGCATGGCAGCTTGATGAGCAGCCGCATAGCTGCTTTGCGTTGTCCTTTGCACAGGCGGGCAACGACATAGCTGCTTTGGGTTGTCCTTTGCACAGGAGGGTCGAGCCCTCAGTAATCCGCCATAGCCTCGATCTACATGAAGAGGAAAAGGAAGGGTGGTCATGGCTATGGTGGACCTCATGTTGTGCCTGCAGTAGAAGAGGGATTCGGACATTGATTCTGGTTCAACCACTCAACCTTATTATTGTTATTTCTTGTTTGAATAAGAGGGGAGGAGATAAGGAGGAGGAGAGTGGTCGGCGAAGAAGAAGAGAATTGTCATTGGTCTTTGCTGGAGTACATCATCTTCTTCTTCTTCTTCTTTCCCTCTCTCTCCTCTCAAGTTCACTCATTTCTTTTTGCAATTGGACGGCATTGCGCTTTCTGGTGAATGTGTACTTCGAAATTGGCCAGCATCGTAACAAATGTGAGGGATGCGCAGCATTCAGGGGGGCATCGGCCAAGGCATCAGCACGCCGCCGGATCCTTTCTAAATCAGAACTGTTGTATTGCGGTCGCTGCTGAATTTGAACTCACTTCTGCAATTCAACAGTTTCATGTGTGCATCAACGGAGCAGCCTGCCAATGAGGAAAGACACACCGCGACGGACAGATACATTAGAGAGAGAGAGAGAGAGAGAGAGAGAGAGAGAGAGAGAGAGAGAGAGAGAGAGAGAGCAGAGGATGAACAAAATGGGAATGAATCTGTCTGCAATGAACCCAGTCTGGGAGAACAAAATGGGAATGAATCTGTCTGCAATGAACCCAGTCTGGCAGATACTCAGAAGTCGTCAAACATCAGTAGTCTCAACATCTGCATCAAAGTCTCCAAATCGTGAAATGATAACTCAAACAGTATCTCATTACCATCAAAAGAAAGAGAGAGGAGGGGGAACAGACAAAGGAGAAGATGAGAGATCACACAGTAATAATCCTTTCGGATCCCTCTCCTTCTCCAGGTTTCTCCCCTCTCCATGTCAACAATGATAATAAGTATATTCCTGATCACACACAATAGTGCCACATGGCACTTGATCTCGTGAAGACCATGAACTGGCATGAAGATATAACAGATTCCAGTGACGACGTCAACCTCAGGTGAGCACCCGACCTCCTTCATCCACAGATCCCGACCTTCCTCCTCCTCACAACCAGTCACCTCATGTAGACAGCATGGACAGTGCCACGTCAGCAGTCGCGATAGGTGGCATATGCCACATCATCAATGAAGACCATCAGCATGCACTGTAAACCAGAGGCATCACTACTTCAGCATGCAATGTAGACTAGAGGTAGCGCCACATCAGCATGCCATGAAGTCCAGAGGCAGTGC